TAATAAATAATTTTTAAAACTAAAATAATATTACGGGCAAATTTAAAAAATATGCATATACACGTCCATATTTTTAGCCTTACTCATTAAAACTACACTTCTCTCCGTGTACCCAGTGAACACCTCCCCGCGGCAAATATGTAAACGTACATATATATACATATATATATATATGTATGCACATGTGTATGTTATGTCACAAGGATGAAACCTTGTCAGTGGTCTATCCTTCTACAACCATTATCCCATAGATGAACTTCAAATCTTTCCTCCATCTACCTGGCAACAATTTTTCAAAGTACTTCGGATACAGAAATATACATGTACATAGATGGTATAGCCAGAGAAAGAATATATATGTACGTATGTAAGAGCGTGTATGTGTATGTATATATACATACACACACATTGAGCAGAGAGAGGAGAGGAATAGAGAAAAGAAGCTGTTGGAGACATCACCTGAGGTAGTGGATAATTTCACCATCTTTAGCAGACTAGCAGTTAGTTTTGATGACAGAAAGGTTTAATATCACATGGTTATATTCTTGGAAAGTAAATTCAGGATATAAATAAAATTAGTCATACTTGTGCGTAATTTACACTGGTATTAAATATTTGCTTTTCTTTTGGCTCTTACATCGAGTTTACAGTCTCGACTAATAGGATTAGATAAATATTGAACCATATGAGAAAAATTTTATCTCATCTTTCCCAGTCAATCTATGTATTCCATGTGTTCCATTCAAATAAAGCTCACAATAACAATGCTGTTCAAATAACGATCACAAAGAAATTGCATATTCTATCCATATTCACAAATTTTTTTGAAGTAAAAATTCATTCCTCAAAAAAATTGAGTGACGCATACATATTAATAAAAACAAAATCAAACACATACAAAAATACAGTACAACTCGAACTCACATCCTCATAGAGAAGAGTTGAAGTTCGAATCATCTATGTGATGGTTGGTCAAATCTCACAATTTGATTAATGGGAATTGCAGCAAGAAACTAGTCGAAATATTTAAAGGTTTTGAATAAATAGAAACATTTAAAGCATCTCATTAAATATAATGAATCTTAACATGTTTTCATTAACTATCAAACCTCAATTACTAGCAGTCACTGTAACCAAATTCAACACTAGAAAAATTAACAGAACAAAAAAAAAAAAACCTACTAGCGCAATCTTCTAGCTTCCCTCTCAGACTCAAGAAGAGTGAGAACATCTCCTTCTCTAACTGGTCCCTTCACATTCCTCATGATGAACCGATTTTGATCATCCAAGAACTTGACTCTCACCTGTGTCACCTGACCTCGAGATCCTGTTCTACCCATGACTTTCACCACCACAGCATGCTTAATTTGAGAATCCATTCTGCACCTCACAACACAGTAGGAATTCAAACTTCAGAATTGCTAACAACAAATCAGTAGGGTTCATCAATTATTCAAATGGACCAAAACTTTGTGGAGGAAAAAAAAAGAACAGAAGCCAAATATATACACATTGGACTTTGTAGGGTGTGTCATCATCTTTGAGAGAAAAAAGGCAACATTTTCAACGGGGATAACCATTGAAAAATAAATAATCAGCAGGGCACCATAATAGCATCTGAGGTCTTATTCTTTGGATAAATAGAAAATATTTTTATTTCTGAAATTGTCTCTTTGTGATTCTGATAAATGAATGGTCCAAAAACAAAGGGAATTCTCCAATGATTCTCATAGATCAACTAATAAAATGAAATCACCATTCTATCTGCTAATCGCTTAGCATTATTGCTGTTATGAAAGAAGCATCCCCTTCTCTTTCCTCCTCTCCCTTTCCCAACTTTCATCCACACCATAACAGACTATAATAGTTAGACACCAATTTCTCCAAAGACAAACAGGGCATAAGAAAAAGTTGATCATAAGGATAAGAAGAATGAAATACGAGACCTAGTAAGGGAAAACGTTTCATTCTTTTCATTTTGGTATTACCAGATTAACAAATGTGGAATTTACAGCAGATCTTTACTGAAACCAAACGTAAAAAAGATCATCAAAAGAGAGCATATATCGTGACTATCTAAGGTTACAACAATCTCAATGTACTGTAAGAAGCATAAAATACGAGACGTAGTAAGTGAACACGTTTCATTCTTATCATTTTTTTTTGGTAGTACGAAATCAATCGACCCTAAAATAGACAACGGAACCAGATAAACAAATGTGGATTTTGCGGCAAATCTTCACTGAAACCAACAGTAAAAAAGATCATCAAAAGAACAAAAAGGCGTATATGGTGACTATCTAAGGATTACAACAATCTCTCAATGTACTGCAAGAACCCTAAACGGAATAGGTAGGAGGATATCAGGGTGGGAGAAGA